GATAGAGTCTGAAACAGCAGCTTCGGAGGAAACCTTATTCAATGCCTCCCAACGCATCAGCGAGCTAGAGAGGAATGTGGAAGAACTTAAGCGGAAGGCTGCCCAAAACTCTGGGGAGGCAGAATATATTGAAAAAGTGGTATATACTGTGAAACAAAGTGCAGAAGATATTAAGAGGGTAAGTAAATCTTTGTATCTTCACAGCTAGGTTGATAAAGGAGCAATAGTCTCCTCACTGCCTTCCTTGGAATTAATAAGGGACACGGGCTTAACATAGTCATGAGAAACAGCGCTAATGATCTGTTTTGACATAGCAGTCTTTGGAGACACAATGAAAAAGAACTGGAGTGGATTTGAAAGTATCCAATAAGCATGACCTAGGGCCTCAAATCCAACTTGGCTAACGATTTGGAAAAATAAAATTTAGTGGTGGAAGTCTTAAAACAAGCATATTAAGCATGTATTTCTGTATTAAACAGGAAGATCTTCACAGCATACAGGAATTACCTGGCCATTTAAGAAATCTCTAAAAGCAGGGTAGAAAAAACTTAGAGTTCATAACAGAGAACAGCTAATAGGAGGAAACCAACATCTCACCCCTACGCACTCATTTTGAATTTACCATCCCTTGCTTCTCAATGGAAGTTACTCTTATTTTGCACAGAAAATCTTGCAAGACCCAAATTTTTCACTAGAAGCCAAGTTGAAACACAGGTTCAGTCTCTAAATTTGTATAAGCTTTATTTCCAAAGACATCTTTTTAAACTTTAGAAGCCAAGTTGAAACACACGTTCAGTCTCTAAATTTGTATAAGCTTTATTTCCAAAGAAATCTTTTTAAACTTTTGGGGAGAGTATTAAAACTGTTAAATGTCTAATAGGGAGTTATAACTGATAAGTCAAGATTTCCCTGGCATTACTTTGGCTTTTGGGCATTACATAATGATGACTATCCTACACCTGGACTGGGGAAGGGAACAAAACAATAAGACAAGTTTATTGCCACGTCTGTCTTTTCCATTATGGTTTGTTGTTTCCTGTGGTTCTGTAAGTAGTCTTCTTACAGAACATTTTGCATACATGACATTTAATTGCAGTAAAGAGGAACAAAACCCCTTGACATGAAATTCCTATTATCAATGGCTATTATTTAAAGTGTTTCTTGAAAGAATCACTTGTAACCCTCTTTCCAAACCCACGACAGTTTTTCCTCTCAACTACCCCACACATGCTAGCTACTACATTCCTGCACTTTCATTAAATCTACCTTTTCCCTCTGATTTCTTGATACTAAGTTTCTACAAACCCTAAATTAGTCAAGAATCCAGATGGTCCTCCTTCCATTTCTTCAAAATGGGCCTTTTCTGAAGTCTAAATATTTGGATCTCAGCACATCTACTTTTGAGAATATCAGTTCCTCCCTACAATGTCTCCATAGAAAAGTGCTGATCAGCAGAAGAGAAAAAGGGCTCAGCCCTAGAGACGTGCTACCACTCCAAAGTGTCTGAAATCTTGCTTTTAAAAATCATGGCAATATTATAATCCCTATTTCAAGATATTTTCAATCATTTACCATTGAATAGTTTAAAACCTGAGTACCCTTGATGATGACACTCAATCCAGAATGCTTGCTGTGCAAGTAACATCTATATGATCAAAGTTTGCCATTATACTACATACTGCTCTTAAATGTTAATTACTGATAATAATATTATCACTGCTTTGTGTCTAAATGTGGGACTGCAGACTCTGGATGGTGAACTGGATGAAAAGTACAAGAAAGTAGAAAATTTAATTGCCAAAAAAACTGAAGAGTCAGCTGATGCCAGAAGGAAAGCTGAAATGCTACAAAATGAAGCAAAAACACTTTTGGCTCAAGCAAACAGCAAGCTGCAACTCTTAAAAGGTAGATCTTTTCATTTAGATTCCTGCTTTCATAAGGAATTTTAAAATTAATGTATCTGTAGAGGTTTATTTAAAAGGTGAAAATCTATTCACTGTCTTAGGCACTTAATAGGAGTCAGTAGTAGATTTTGAGATCATCAGAGTATAAATTGTTCAGACTTTCTCTTTATCTTCCACAGATTTAGAAAGAAAGTATGAGGACAATCAAAAATATTTAGAAGATAAAGCTCAAGAATTAGTAAGACTGGAAGGAGAAGTTCGTTCACTCCTAAAGGATATAAGCCAAAAAGTTGCTGTCTATAGCACCTGCTTGTAACAGAGGGCTATACGATGGCTGAGGTGACCAAAGTAAAATTGCTATATTTTAAAAACTGACTCAGTGATCTTCAGAGTAAAACTCTTTGCCAATTTAATGTTTTTAATTGCCACCTTTTGTATGGAGTTAAATAAAGTACAGTGCTTTTGTATAAATATATATTTAGCATAATTCTTAAATTGTTACTTCTACTGATTTAGTGTTCATGAATCTCTTGAACAAAGAATGTTATTTTCACTGTAAAGATGAATTTATAAACAAATTGATTGCCTCCATAGAGATCCTACTTTCTGTTATATCTATAAACAAACTATTATTCCTCTGTTTACTAAGTCAATATCCTCCACAATTCCAACCCAAAATCATCTCCCAGTGATTTCTGGATATAGAACCTGAGTTACCTTCACTATTTCAGTGGTTGCTTAGTTACTCAAATCTCCAAAACTCACAAGTATTCCTTGCTCTAGTAAAGAGAACAAAATGCAGCACTTTTTAGAAAATTGTGGCTTTTAAGTACTACCATCTAGAATAGGGCTAGGGTTGCTGAAGGGGAGGTTTAAATTAAATCAGGCCAGTTTATAGACATTGCTCCCGCCAACTGAGCAGTGCTACTCAAAATACAGAATGATGCTGTATTTGCTTTTATATTATATTTGATTTCACAAACCAAAGATTCTCTGCTATAATCTGTAGGTGAGGCCAAATCAATTAGATAGCAGTCACTTATTCCACAGAATAACGAAAATAGCTAAAATACAATTGCCAAACCTGTCAACTTTATAGTTGAGCCAACTGGGTAACAGGCCAGGCCTAAGTGGTTTTTTCACACATTCTTCTTAGAGCAAGACTATTCTGTGTACCACTTAATCACCACCCACACATCCAACACAGCTGCATTTGAAGCTGGGCCTGAATGAAAGTTATGTAAACAGCTGTAATTTAAACAATAAGGCAACTTCTCTCTGGTTCAAGGCAATTATTTGTCACTTTTGTTTAGGTAGGAATCCCTAGTAACTAACAAAGTGGTCATACACAAGCATCATCTACTAAGTCTTTTTGTTCCAAGTATTTTACTTAAAATAGTAGAAACCTTCACTACTCACCATTCCTTTTCAGCTAAATAACTAAAGATCTCACTTTGAAATTCCTAACTTTAATCAGTTTAATGAACTGGACAAGCAACAGCCCCAACCTTCAGAAGCCAAGAAAATATCAAGAATTTAGTAAACAACAGTATGTCAACGTTTAAAAATGTTTTATACCTAGAATTTCATTCCCGCCCATATCAATTTTCATTCTCATTAAATGGGAACCCTTAACGTTGGACTTAATGATTATTCTGTTTCTCTATAGCTAGAACTTCATATTACGTTATATTTTACTATTCCCTAATTAAAAACTTTTTCCCTAGAGTAGGGAACAGGTTTGAGGTTTAAAGAAACTAGCATTTCACATAATATTGGGATTTCAGATTTTAAAAAGGTGCGGAGTCATTTCCAATAATGGCAAATAGCACATATCAGACCAATCCTGCTGATAACAAGTACAAACTATGAACAAAATGTTCTTGTTTTTCCCCTAAAGTAAAGATACTGGAGAATAACCAGAAGCAGGCAGAAGGCAGAGGAGAGTTGATAAGAAAGATCGGCACTGGGTGAAATTCCCATTTTTAACAACTTTTCACTTGAGAGGAGACTCTAAGTGGCAACTTAGGCAGAAGCCAAGTTTTATTTACTGGTTAAGGACTCAGAGGGCAGAGTTTAGAGCAACTTCAATAACTGAAATATGAGAGAAGGAAACCCCAGAAAAGAGACAGGCACAAAGGAGAGGGCCCCCAAATTCTGCATATACTTGGCCCAATCTCTGGTTGACCAGTGAACTATACATGTATCGGGCAGATTTCAGGCAGCCCAGGTAAAACTACAACTGAGTAGAGATCTCAGCTGCTGCCCCTGACAAAGATGACAAGAGTTTAGGAGTTGAAGATAGCCAAGTTAACCTCCTACTAAAAAAAATTCACTACTTTTCAGAGGTATGTAACAGAATCCAGAGTCCTTACAATGTACCATTCATAATGACTATAATACAATCCAGGACCACTGGACATATTAAGAAAAAGGAAAATGTGACCCACATATAATGCAATTAAAACCTAAAGACTACTAAAGACTTTCCTTTTAGCTATCATCAACTGATGGTATTTTCTATTTCATACAGCTTTCTGCTGATAAAATATATTCTCCAAACTTTTCCTTAAGATGAGTATAACCTTTAAATTACAATCAAATGACTATCTAGTTTATATATTCCTAGTACTTTAAGATAGTTTATTTCCCTCTTTAAATTTATGCTATCCCAGATTTGAGAACTACTTTAATCTGAAATTATTCTTAAGTTTAGTTATTATATGCAAAAGCCTATTTTTCATTTAACACCATTATTTATTTCAAGAAATTGCCATGTTAAATATTTATCAACAAATAAGGCCCAGCAAAGGACATAATGGAAATCAACATAGGAAAAGACGCAGATTAAAGACTCCCTTATATTGTTTCTCCAAAAGTATATGCTAAACATTTAGGAGACATCACCAAAACAGATGAAAGGGTAATGATAGCCAAGTTAACCTCCTACTAAATGCCTTAATACTGTACTACAATGTGGGGAAAAGATACATCCAGGCCTGTAAGAGCAATAATAAAGAATAAGAAGAATACACACAAGAGGCAGTCAAAAGAATTCGGACCATCTTGATATCCACTCAGAATAACCAATACAAGAATATTTAAGAAATGTTTATTTTCATATCTTCATTTCCCACTGTAATACATTTAAGTTGCCATTTAATACCTGAATTTTGTAAATATACCTCCTTCATTTGGTGAATTATAAACTCCAGACTACAGACCTCAATGGTACCTTAAAAATCTAAACATAAATTCTACCTCTAAACTGCAAGAATTTGGAGATTAAATAAAACAAGTGAGAGACCACTTTATTTACATGAGTTGAGTTTATACATATTTTAATCTTATTCTAATGAATGACTCTTGATTCCAATATGAAAACCAAGTTTAAAATAACTTGATCACCTTGCTTTGGATACAGCTATTCACATACATACTCCAGCTCCATCCATGTAATAATAAGTAAATCCAACTTTAATATAGCAGAAATAAAAGCTACTTAACATAAATTCAGTGAAGTTTAACTTTTCACAAACAGCATGGAAAAATACACTGAAAAAAATTTTCCAGAACACTACTATAAGTAGCTTTTTTTTCAATATTAATGTACTGAAATAAAATACTAAATTTATTTAAAATATAGATGAGAGTATTCCATTCTGTTCAAACCTACTAAATACCTTCCAAAAGTTTCATAATTCAGTCCTAGAAATTCTTGGAGCTGTGAGCATATCCTGTTCAGGAATTTGATCTCTACAAAAACTCCCAGGAAATTTCAGAAAAAAATAAATATAATCTTCTAATTTAAAAGTTGATTGATTTGCCAAATGAAGCAGCCAGATTTGCTTCTCTAAAAGCTTCTGATAAGGTCTGCAAGGGAAGAAATTTAAAATTAAAAATCAAGTATTTGTGAGTCAAAAAAAAATTTCAGGTGGCCATCAATTGTGTTGTTAATACTTACCGGATGCGCATGACAAACTCTAGCTATATCTTCACAGGATGCTCCATATTCCAATGCAAGAGCAGCTTCATTTACCATTTCACCAGCACCCTTTAAAATAATAAACCAAGAAGTAATTTTGTTTCCATGGCAAAAACAAATACATATTAAAAGGACAGATTTGTTTTAAGAGCAGTTAACTGCCTCTAGTCAGAAAAAGCTTAACAGAAAAGGTGGCAGAGAAGTTGAGCTTGAGCTCTGCAGCCAGATAGGCTGGACTCAGAGACTGTGTCCTTCATTCCATTTATTCGCCTCAAATGGGTACAGCAATACTGATCTCACAGAGTTATGAAAATTAGTTAGTGAATGCATTTAAGACTAATTACAGAGTAAGCACTCAAATGTTACCATTTTTGTTACATCACACACCTAAAATGAGGGCATGCTTCAGATTCAGTGGTAGAAAAGGCTTCTTTTAAAAGGTAACATATGAGCTGAGACCTGAATAATAAAGGAGTCACTCATGCAGAGATCTGGAGGCAGAGCATTCTAAGCAAACAGTACTACTACTACAAGCACAAGGGCTCTAAAGTAAGAAAAGCTACTACAAGCACAAGGGCTCTAAAGTGAGAAAAGGTTTAACCTGTTATGAAATTGGGAGAAAGACCATAGGCAGGAAATTAATAAGCAAAAGGGAAGAGTGGAAAGAGATGAGGTCAGAAAGGAAGACGGCCAGATTTAGAGGGCCCCTATATATAAATCTGCAGTTGAAAAGAACCATTGGAGCGTTTTAAGCAGGCACATGGTACATGTTTTAAAATGTTAATAATAGTTGTAACATGTAAAGTAGATGACATGGTGGGCAAGACTGTGACAGTGTTGCTGGTACCTCGCTAGAAATGATGCACAAAGAGGCCATTTTCACACTTTACTGGTACAATATGTAAAGTAGATGACATGGTGGGCAAGACTGACTGTGACAGTGTTGCTGGTACCTCGCTAGAAACGATGCACAAAGAGGCCATTTTCACACTTTACTGGTAAATAATAACCTCAGAATGTAAATACCAGGTGACTTTAAATTAATCTTCTAAAGAGCAATGCCTTCCAGAAATCCTAACAGCGTTTCTGGTTTTTACAATACTCACTGGTCCTAGAATATGTGCTCCCAATACTCTGTCCGTTGATTTCTGCCCAAGAATCTTCACCATGCCATCTGTGTCAGCATTTGTCTTAGCTCTGCTGTTAGCAGCAAATGGGAATTTACCAACTTTGTACTCAATACCCTGTGAGAGACAGAAAATGAAAATCTACATAAACTGAAAAACTACATTGTCATTGACAAAATCATCTGCCATTTGTTCAGAAAATAGATCTCAAAAAGGTAATTCTTCACAGAACATAAAGAAGACCATAAGGCTTGTTACTGAAATATATTTTGCATACAAACACAAGCAAATGCAAATTTCAGTCTATCTGTAAGTATTTCAAAGCCCAAAAGAAAAGCTCTGGAATTGCCAGTTTTTGAATATAGGCAAATGAATGATCTCCTTTATAATACTATAAAAGAAAAATATATAAAACTAAACTATAATGTTCTATATAGTTATTAAAATGCATTAATGCAATAATCAAATGATTCTTAGCCACCAAGGTCATTAACTCAATTCACACATTGAAGTAAAACTCCTCATTCAGGATTACCTCTTCTTTCAACTGCTCTTCTGATCTGCCAACCCAAGCAACTTCAGGGTGTGTGTAAATCACCGACGGTACACAATTGTAGTCAATGTGCACAGCACCACCAGCCATTCCTTCAACACAGATAATGCCTTCATCTTCTGCTTTGTGAGCCAGCATTGGACCAGCGACCACATCACCGATAGCATAGATGCTACCACAGAAATTTAAAAAAAAAGAGACCTTCTGAAATCACAGATACTCCTCTTTGATTATGCCATGTTAACAAAATTATGTTTCTAGTTATTATGTCACCAAAAGTATGTATGAAATACAGCTCTTCAAATATCTGAGTGGGTTCTAATCTTTGGATAATGAAAAAGTCAATTAATTGTTGTTTTTACATATAATTTACCATTCTTCCCCAAAACCAATGAATTAAGTATGACAAAAGTCTCATTTTGAAAATAGTTTGACATAAATTTTAAAATTATTGAAAATGCAACTTACTTTGGAATTTTAGTTTGAAATCTGGTATTGACTGGAATTCTACCTCTAGGATCTAATTCAATGCCAAGCTCTTCTAGTCCCAAATTCTGAGTAAAAGGTCGTCGGCCAATGCAAACCAAAAGTACATCACAAGTGATAACTTCAGCTTTACCACCAGAAGCAGCTTCGATACTAGACAATGAACAGTGTACAACTGTTAAACACATCTACATAAATAGCTGGTATACTTGGAAATTTAAGACCAGACATTTCTCAAATGTTTATGACATTCTAACAATGTTAAGTATATTTTATTATAAGATAAACATAAGGGTCAGGCAATGAAAAAATGTACATACTCTCTACAGACCTATCATTAAAGTCTCACAAAAACAAGCAGTGTAACATGGATTAAGAACAGGTCTTATAGTCAGAGAGACCCAAGTTCAAGTAGTGGCTTTGCCACGCACTAGCTGTGTAACCTCAGGCAAGTTATTTCATTAAGTTATAAAAGTGCTTAATAGAGTACCAGCACATAGTAAGCAATGTAATTAATATTATTACTGATACCCCCATATATTTGTCTAACAGTACTGAATTCATTTTACTGAATGTTGAGAGTTTACATTTTTCTGAATGTATACAATGAAAAATACATTTCAATGAGAACGCTGGATTAATTTTTCTAGCATCAACTTCATCAAGAATTTCAACAGGCTGATTTGATAAGCATTACTGAGTTATATTCAGCAATAAATGGTCTTAAATTATAAAATAGCTAATTCTGAAAAATTAAAGGTTTTTCTTAAAGAAAAATAGACAAGGATATTATATCAAACACAAATGTAGCATACTTACGAAACATCAATTTTTCCATCTGACTTCTTGGTAGCTCCAGTAACTTTTGTATTCAATTTAAATTTAAATCCTTGTTTTTGAAGGATGCGTTGAAAGTTTTTAGATATCTCCATATCAATTCCAACTCCACCAACATGACCCAAAAACTCAACTGCTGTGACATCTGCACCAAGTCTTTGCCAAACTGAACCCTGCAAATAATTTTTTTTTTAAATCATAAAAATAAAGGTTTCTATACCAAATGCTTACTGAATTATATTAATTTATTGTAGGATATTTTCTTTTGTAAATATGTTCCTATTAGAAGCTCTGAGATTTAAAATTAACACCATGGCAAATATGTATAACTTCATATATTTATTTACTCATTCATTCAACATTTATTGAGCACCTACTATATGCTAGGCACCAATTTAGATGCTGGGCATACATCTGTAACCAAAATACTGCCCTCAGGAAACTTAAATCCTGGTAGAGGAGAAAGACAAATAATTGAAGAGGATAGTAAAGTACTACGAGAAAAACAAAGCAGGAAGTAGAACCAGGAGTACTGAAAGGAAAAGAACTGCAATTTTAAATATCATGGTTGATGAAAGGCCTGAGAATGACATTTGCACAAAGACGGGAAGAGAGGAACAAGTGAAAAGAAAGGTCCCAAAGAGGAAGAAGTAGCCTCTTATTGCTACTAATTACTATTGGTAAGATATTAAATTGACTCGTTTTATTTTCTCAACAGAGAAATGTTTACTTTTTTCATTCAAATTATAATTTAAACTGAATGTTGATTTTTTAACATTTTAACAATTTTAACCTCTGAATATTCACATTTGAAACAGACAAGAGAACATAAGTAACAAGTACATACAAAAATTAACTTTAAATGGATCTGGACCTAAATGTCAAACACAAAACTGTAAAATTTCTAGGAAAAAACACAGGAGAGAATCTTTGTGACCTTGAATGACACAAAGGTTTCTTAGCTACAACACCAAAAGCACAATCCATTAAAGGAAAAAAAAATGTATATAAATTAAACTTCATCAAAATTAAAAACTTCTCTTCAAAACAGTATTAAGAACACAATATTTAAGAGTGACATCAGCATCATGGAGTGAGAAGACCCCTTGGTATTCCCCTTAAAATTACAAGTTGGACAACTGTAATTCAACAAATCATTACCTGTGTAACACACACACATCTGCATGTCTGAGAGATCTGAATGTAGGTGTATTGCAATGAGCATGGGAGGCAGGATGGGGGGAAGGACAGAGAAGGGGGCCACAGAAACAGTCTAGCACCTGATGCAGCCCCAGCTAACAGGGTAGTGGGGAAGGAGTCAGCTACAGCCCTAACATGGCAGCCAGGAGAGCCAGAGCAGCAGACACAATATTCTGGCTTGAGTGGCCAGCACCCACTGCAGTTAAACCTGGTGACAAGGGGGGAAATGTAGCACAGTGGTGTGGCAGCAGAGTGGACTAGCCACTACCAATACTATCAAAGCAAAACCGCAGACAACCAAACTTACCTCTCCCGTCACATATACACCCTCCCCCACCTTTCACAGTAGAACCTGGTAGAGGTAGCAGTGACACTTCAGATAAAACAGCATGGCTGGCAGCCTCTGGTTACAAGGAGCCAGAAAGTCACAGGCCCAGAACCCCAACACCAGTCACATCCCATCATGGGAATGGTACCCGAATACCCAGGCAACTCAGATGCAGAGAGGACAACCACCTCTACAGGGAATAGCGGGCATTTCCCTAGAACCAAGCTACACCAAGCCACCAAGATCCTGGAGGTGCCAGTAGTGCCGGTAAGAGAAAAGTAAAACTTGCACTATGGCACCACCTACTGGAGAACAAAAGAAAGACCTCTATGTAATCAGCTGAATTAAGAGCAAAACAGTACCTAAAAAAGAAGAGTCCACTACCTCAAATGCCCAGGCAGAAAAACAATCCATCAAGTACTTTGAAAAACCAAGGTAACAAGGCAGCTCAGAAAGAAAATAAAGTCTCCACAAACAGGACTCAAAGATGTAGAAGACTGTGATTTAAAATAAAGTTTCCAAAAACAGAACTCGAAGATATAGAAGTATGAGATTTAAATAACAGAGAAATTGAGATTGCGCAGTTACAAAAAAACACAATGAGATACAAAAAAACACAGAAAGTACTTCAGTGAGCTCAGGAATAAAATTAATGAACAAAAAGAGTACTTAACCAAAGAGACTGAAACTATAAAAAAGAACCAAAGAGAAAACTGGAGCTGAAGAACTCAATAAATGAGATGAAGAATGCATTAGAGCCTTAGAAACAACGGTAACAGATGGAAGAGAGAATTAATGAGCTCAAAGACAGAAATCTAGAAATGACTCAGGGGGAAGAAGAGAGAGAAGTGAGAGTTAAAAAAAAAAAAAAGTGAAAGAACATTATGAGAACTGACTCTATTAGAAAGAGCAACATAAGAATAATGGGTATACCAGAGGAGAAGAGGGAGCAAAGGAAACAGAGAGCTTATGCAAACAATTAATTGATGAGCACTTCTCAAGCTTACAGAAAGAACTAGACCCTCAAATTCAAGATGCTAACAGAACACTTAATGTTCTCAATGCAAAAGGACCTCCTCTAATATGCATTATAGCAAAACTATGAAAAGTTAATGACAAAGAATTCTCAAGGCAGCCAAGGGGGGGGGAAAGACTGCAATCTACAAAGGCAACGACATTAGATTATCACCAGATTTTTCAGCAGAAAACGTACAAGCCAGGAGAGTGGAATGAAATATTCAAATATTGAAAAAGAAAACACCAGGCAAGAATAATATATCCAGCATTTATCCTTTAGATATATAAAGGCTATCGCAGACAAAAAGTTGAGGGAATTTATCACAAGACCTGCATTATAAAATGTTTAAAGGAACTCTTCTACCTAAAACAAAAAGACAAAAGTATACAAAACTTTGAGTAGGTTGACAAACAGAAGCAGGTAACTGCAACTCAATTTCAGAATAGGGTAGTAAACATGTAATTATTATATAAAGATTAAAGGGAAAAAAATTTTTTAAAAGACTGTAACTTCTGCAATCTGGAAATGAATGCACAACACAAAAAAGGATTATCTGTGACAACAATCATGAAAAGAGGAAAAGGACTCAACTTACACAGGTGAATGCAGATACAATCAGAAAGGAAAAAACTACTGTATGTGTGAAACATTTTCCCCCCAAAAAATGTAACAGTAATCACAAAACAAAAATCTAGAGCTGAGACATGTAACATAAAAAGAGGAAAGTAAAAAAAAAATCACAGAAGACCACCAAACTGAAATAGCAGACAGAAATAAAAGGAAAAAGAAATAATGGAAATACAGAGCAACTAGAAAACACGAGATAAAATGGCTATAGTAAGTCCTCATATCAATAATCACCCTAAATGTAAATTTACTGAATTCTCCAATCAAAAAGCAGAGGAGCATTGGTGGTATAACAGTGAACAAAGCTGCCTTCTAAAAGGCACAGAACAGTGGGATAGATTTTAAGAGGTGGGTCAGGAGACCCACCTCAGCTGCAAAGACAAACATAGGCTCAAAGTAAAGGGGTGGAAAGTGATCCTCCAAGCAAATGACATCCAGAGAAATGCAAGTGTAGCCATACTTTTATCAGACAAAATAGATTCCAAGATAAAAAAGATGAGACAGAAATCGACATTTTCTAATGATAAAGAGGACATTTATCAAGAAGACATGACACTTATCAGTATACACCGTTTGATTTATGCAGTACTTTGTTTACATGAGTTTTTTAATATGCAGTAAATATTCTCTGTTTACGTGAATATGCAGTTTTCATTTACACAGTCTCATTTTACACAGTTCTTTCTTTTTCGTTTCCATTATTGGCAATTACTCTTTCTAAAAAAATAGCTTAACTCAGCAACATACAAAGAACTAATACTTACTAACACAAGTATTAATGATCTTCCCATTCACTGGACGGCAAATAAAAAAGCATGGGTGACTACTGATGTTTTTTGGGATTGGTTTTACAAATGTTTTGCTATAAAAACTGAAAATTATAAGAAGGAAAAATGTCTTCCTTTCAAAATACTTTAACTTTTAAATAATGAACATGGTCATCCACACGATTTAGAACATTCAAATATAAAAGTTGTGTATTTGCCACCAACTACAACTTCCTTGATCTGACCTTTAGATCAAGGCATTAGTTCCACCTTTAAATTAATTATATTAAATGAAGTTTTAACGATATTTTCAATATACCTGAAGATAATGAATCAGTTACAGAAGCCTGAAATACACAATTTTAAACTGTATCAAGAATATTGCTTTAGCTTTGAATGATATAAAGCTGTCAATTTTCAGTACTTGCCAGAAAGCAATATGGCCAGAAGTGGTTGTACCTGGGAATATGGTTCCAAGAACTGAAGAGGGAGTTAACTGGCATTAATTTATTAAATAAATTATAAGAAAAAGGCTCTGACAATTTGAATTTGGATATTAATAAATTACTGGTTGATCACTAATTAACTGATAATGAATTAATTCATTTAATATGAGGGCCATCCTGCCAAGGAATATGGCAGTCACTTTGAACCAGTTTCATTTACTGCAGAAAATAATTACAAAACTCTTCAAATGGCCACAAAACTGAAAACTGCAATTCTAGATATTGATCCAAACATCCAATGAGCTTTAAAATTTCAAAAAGATTTTTTTAAATGTCAGCAGTGAATATCGAATAATTTATAAAACTTAGCAAAAGATGGGGTTGGTAAAAGGTCATCCAAAATCATAAATAAACCAAAGTAGTACTACCAAATATTTCGAGCGATGAAGATAGTGACTTTGTACCAATTAAAATGAGAAGGCTGACTGCTTTAGATTATAGTACAGACACCAACAGCGAATAAAATTTTTAGTTTTTCTGAATTTTCATTAGCATTTTTTTGTAAAAATGTGAAATAAATATTTTTATGACTTATATGGACTATTTCTTCAGTATTTTTTTTATACTGGTAGACTCTTTATGCAGTATTTTTCATTATAAAAAAAGACACTTGGAACAGGTAATCCACATATATTGAGGGACAGGTGTATATAGTGCAATTAGTAACAAACCTAAAGGGGTAAACTGACGAAAATACTAGTGGAAACCTGAATACCCCACTGACATAAATGGTCAAATCATCCAGAGTGTCAAAAAGGAAATACTGGCCATAAATGGCATTAGACCAAAGGGACATAATCAACAATTATAAATCTTTTCATCCCAAAACAACAGACTACACATTCTTCTCAGGTACACATGGAACATTCTCAAGGACAGAACATATGTTAGCAGCACAAAACTAATCACAATAAAATTAAAAAGACTGAAATCTTACCAAGCATATTTTCCTAACACAACAGTATGAAACTGGAAATTAACTACAAAAAGAAAGCTGGGAAAACCACAACATGTGGGTTTTAAACATGCTACTGAACAACTACTGGGTTAAAGAAGAATTAAGAGATCAAAAGTACATAGAGACAAATGAAAATGATAATACGACATACCAAAATTTGGAGGATACAGTAAAAGCAGTACTAGGAGGGAATTTTATAGCATTACAGGCCTACCTTCATAAACAAGAAAAATCCCCAATAACCTAGTCAAAAGTCCAAAGTCAGTAGAAAGAAGGAAATAATAAAAATTAGAACAGAAATAAACAAAAACAAAACAGAAATAAATTAATGACACAAAAAGCTGGTTCTTTGAAAATAAATAAAACTGAGAAACCTTTGGCTAGACTCGCTAAGGAAAAAAGAGAAAAGACTCCAATAAATAAAAACAGAAATTAAAGAGAAGTTCAATGGACACCACAGAAATACAAAGGATTAAACAAGAACACTATGAAAGGCTATATGCCACCAAATTTAATAAGCTAGAAGAAATAGACAAATTCCTAGAAATATTTAACCTTTCTAGGCTGAACCATAAAGAATTGGAAAACCTAAATAGACCAATCACTAGTAAGGAAACTGAAACAGTCATGAAAAACCTCCCCAAAAGCAAAAGTCCAGGACCAAACGGCTTCACTTGGGAATTCTAGCAAATATTCAAAGATTTAATATCTACCCTCAAACTCTTCCAAAAAATTTTGAGAGAATACTTCTTAATTCATTTTATGAGGCCAACATTACCCTGATACCAAAATCAGACAAGGACAACACAGAAAAAGGAAATCCCAGGCCAGTATCTCTGATAAACATAGATGCAAAAATCCTAAACAAAATACCAGCAAATCAAATACAACACATTAAAAGGATTATACGTCACAATCAAGTAACGTTCATTCCAGGGATGCAAGAATTGTTCCACATATGCAAATCAATATAATACACCACATTAACAAAATACAAGATAAAAACCATATGACATCAATAGATGCACAGAAAACATTCAACAAGATACAACATCCATTTATGATTAAAACACTCGATATAATGAGTACAGAAGGAAAGTACCTCAATATAATAAAGGGTATATATGGCAAATCCTCAGCTAAAATTATACTCAATGGTGAATTTGAGGGTCTAGCTCTTTCCACAGGCAAGCAGAGGGCATAAAATAGCATGGTATTCAGAGAACTGCAAATAGTCTGACATCTCTAATACATAAGAGGAATTGAGATGAGGATGGAGAGGAAGGGAAGAACCAGATCATGTCAGTCATGGTCTTTATCTGAAATGCAGTTTGCTCAGAATGAGAGCTGCCTTCTGAAAGACTAAAAGGCCTGAAGGGCTGTCAAAAAATTTTTTAAATTAGTCCAGTTCTAGGGAACAGAAAGAGTGGAATATA